ATGGATATGATAAAAACCTTTACAGGATAAGTGTGTAAGTAAGGTAAGGTTTACTTTCTGTGAACTTTTCTCTGCAATCAGAGACTAAACCTGAAAACAATCATCAGTTTAATTTAGTGGTAAGTCGTCCTTCAGAATTATTATTTCATTTTTGCATAAACAAAATTAGCATTTTTAGTATATGTTAGTGCTATCTTTATAATTCTAATACATTGCAGTTACTGGGTAAATGTGTTCACCAAATAAATGAATGGATGAGCCATAATTTTCTTCAGCTTAATGCTGAAAAACAGAAGTAATCACTTTTGGTCCCAAAAAATGAAAGTCAACATAATTCAATACAACAGAACAATTTAAAATTGTTTAGCATAGTTATGAATGCTGATTTGAATTTGAATAGTCATATAAAGACCATTATGCAATCCTCTTCCATCTTAAGAATATTAGAACTAGAATTAAGAGTCTTGTGGCAAAAAAAAGATAATAAATGCTTATTCATGCATTTATTTTTAGTAAGCTAAATTATTATAATTGTTGTTTTTATTGGTTTTAATTTAATGTACATCCAAAATGCTGTTGCTACATTTCTGACCAACACCAGGAAAAACTGATCATATTACAACTAATTTTAAAATCATTGTACTGGCTTCCTGTGTGTAAAGGGATTGATTGTAAAATACTGTTAACGGTTCATAAAGCATTGAGGGTCTTGGACCTAAATATATTGCTGATCTACTTGAAGTCTGTGGGGCTCCTAGGTCTCAGATGTAGAACCAAACCTGGTGAAGTTGTATGAAAGATGCTATATGAATAAATTTTACTTTGACTTTAACAGGGTTTTGTTTTTGTTTTTTTAGTCTGTGTTATCTGTATGTCAATAATATTTGTAACAACTTGTTCTATTCATATTTTAGTTTTTTGTAGTTTTCAGCACAAAGTCAAAAGAAAACTCATTTTTATGTCAGATTCCAGATGAGACCAGACTAATCACAGGAAGGTCCCAACTGCTTGATGAACTGTTTTTGACACATTTCCAAAGTTTCCTGCATAGTTTTAATATCAATTAATTACATTTCACTGAATAATCACCCAAATTCCATTAATATTCCTGCAGGTCCTGTGGGAATTGTTATATTGGAAAGAGACTTTATCATACTTAAAAAAAAAATAATCTTCATTTTAACATTTTGTACAGAACATAAATCAAGATACAAAGAAAAAATATATAAAATACAAGCTGAATAGGTATTAATCTCTTTACTCTATTAATTCTCATGTTGTCATT